ACGGAGCCTGCTTGGGATTTTCTCTCTCCCTCTCTCTCTGGCCCTCCCCCACTCGAGAACACATACTCTCACTCTCTTTCAAAATAAATAAATAAATTTTTTAAAAAGTCATATTGTATTTATTAAATTTCAAAGAATCCAATCAAGACCCTTCTGTGTTTTTCATCAAGACTGTTTTATCAACCTAGAGCCAGGCTAACACAATGTCTACCAATCAGGGGTCAATTAATTATACTCAATGGAATTCATTAGTTAGGTTGTGATAGACATGAAGGAGTTCTTATAACAATTTTTAAAATGTGATAGTGACAGATAGTTATTGTTACTGAAATAGGTCTGATTTTGTGATAAGAAAAAAAAAGAAGACTATAGAACTGTAAATGTAGAGTGTGATCCCATCTTTGTAAAATTTAATTCCTATATCTGTTCATGTATGTGTGTACATACGTAGAAAGACATCTGGAAGGATGCCCAAAACACCCATGCATTCACTCAACAAATATTTTCTATGCCAGACATTGTTCTAGGTGCTGAGGATAATAACAGGGGACAAAGCAAACCAGGATCTTCACAGAGTTGAATTTTATAATAACAAGAAAACAAAACAAAACAAAGAAAGTACATATACAACATTTCAGAAAGTGATAGGTACACACTCTGGTGAAAAATAAAGTAGGCTTTGGAGTGGGCTTTTGTCACCTTGACTGAGGCGAGGAACTATACTTCCCAGAATTCCATTGTCTCTAGGGCTGCTGGTTAGAGTTTGACCAAAAAGGAACGTGTGTGATGTTTAGGAGGCAGAAATGAAGCAGCAACTGGTACTATCCAAAGGTCAAAGCTGTCAGAAAAGTGAGAGACACAGAGGTCCCTGGGTGACTTAGTTGATTAAGCATCCAACTTCAGCTCAGGTCATGATCTTAAGGTTCCTGAGTTTGAGGCCTGCACTGCGGGGACGGGATTGGGGGGTCGGTGCTCTGCACTCTCTCCCTCTCTTCCTCTCTCTGCCCCATCTCCCTACTACTAACCCTGCCAACCAACATCAGCCACAAGCCGAACCCCTGTGCTCACCCACTGACCATTCCCTCAGAGGTATTACACTCATTTCCTTTAGCATTTTACACCGTTCTCTCTTTCCTCCAACCTTCAACTCTTCTGCCTCCCTACCCCCTTACTTCCCATTGCACTAAGAAGTGGAAAGAACTTCCACTCATTGCCACAATCATATTAACTAACAACAACAACAAAATTCACTGGCATCTGGATGATGCCCTGCCTTCCTTCCTATGACAGAGCCTGGCTGGAAGCTCATTAATTCTCTCTTTTGTTCCTGAAAACACAGAAGACTACATTTTCCAGCCTTCCTTGCCATTGGGGTAGGGCATGAATAGCAGCCAAAGGAACACAAGCCATTTCCATACCTGGCCCCTAAAATCTCCATTGAGATTCTTGACTCTATCTCCCTTGCAGGGTTGGGAATAAAGGATCCCTGTAGGGCAGAGCCACACCATGGCAGGAGCTCCATTTCTGGAAGCACCATTTAGAGGGGGACAGCCTAGAAGAGAAGCCAGACCTGCTCTGCTCTGTGATATGAAGGAGAACTACATGAACCATTCTTTTACTGTACCTAATAGTTATTACCCTAACACACCCTCCTTCTCTGTAGCTGGAACTGTCCACACACCCTGAGTGACGGCAAATTCATTCAGCTGTAAACTAGATCCCATCTTTTCTCGCCTGCTCAAGGACAAAGCACTAGAGATTGCCCCCTCTCTGTCACATCATCAAGGTTTCCCTCTCTACTGGCTCAATCCCAGCAAATAAACAGGCTTTCATATCTCCTGCTGTACAAAAAGCAAATAGCGCTTTTATCTGGGTGATGAAACTTTTTACAAAGATTTCTACTTTTTGCTTTCTTTCCCCTGTATTGTTTACATGAATGCTTTCTACCCGCCCCAAAAAAAGACAGCGAGAGAGAAGAGAAGAGAAGAGAAGAGAAGAAAGAAAGAAAGAAAGAAAGAAAGAAAGAGGAAGGGGAAGGGGGAAGGGAAGGAAGAAGAAAGAAAGAAAGAAAGAAAGAAAGAAAGAAAGAAAGAAAGAAAGAAAGAAAGAAAGAAGGAAATTCATCACCTTGCCTTAGGAGAAGTTTTCCTGGATACAGGATATGACCAATGATTTCCCCTTTCTTTCCCATGCCAAACATTCCCTGGGGCTCCTCCACTCATTCCTCTGCCTGTCAAGAGTGTGACTCTCAGAAGCTTCTTGCTGCATAGGGCATTCACAAAGAACATCAGGAAATGGCGAAAAGACACAGGGTCACTGCCCTTCTGATGGCTAGTATTCCTAATCCATGGTGTCAAACAGGTGACATTCATCAGCAGCTGTCCTTTGCCCCCATCCAGCGGCACACTGTCCTCACCCGGTGCCCTCCTTCTCCATCGCAACCAGATATATATTTCACATATATATGCTATCGTGTGTATATCACGTATATAGGAAATCACTTATACACACAGATTTCACATACATGTGATTTCAAGTCATTTACATCTCATTAACTTCAAATAAGTCCCCTTTATTGCCACTCAATTCAACGAAGTATCTCTCCCTGGGTTTACAACCTAACACACTGCCACATCTAGCTCTCGAAGACAAAGAAGTACTTCTTTATTCCCCACGTTGGACTTTGAAAATCTAAAGGGAAAAGGTCTTCTAAACAGAAATTGATTTCTTCACATCGCCATTTCGGTAATGGACACCAGCCACTGTTGCATTTGCACTTCATTCAGAAAGGCACGGCTTTGGGGAGAATTTTTTTTAACTGCCTGCCACTTCTGGAATCAAGCTTTTCTGCTCCATTTGGACAAGGATCGGGGCTTCTGCAGTTTTCCTAAATGTTTTACTGTAGGCGGAGCAGACCCCAAGGTACAGCCGATTGACTGGTTACTGTAGAAATTCTGAACAATATCAGCCTGTCACCCGCCCCCTACTTGTTATTCAGATAGAACCCTATTTGCTGTCAGTCTTCCTGGGGATAGAATAGCTCTTGGACAAAACAAGTCACACAATACCCTGCTGCCCTGAAGGATCCTGCTGTCAAAGGCAACTCCGGGCCACACCAAATTGTCACCGTAAAGGAAACAAACAAGAACCTGGAGAGCAGAAGCAGCAGCATCCTCTGTTTCAATGACATTCTTTTTCATAAGATTATTGGCTACAATTTCAGGTTGTTGTTGTTGTTGTTGTTGTTGTTTTGGGGGCCAGTAAGGTAATAATGCTTCAGTGTTTTTTCGCTGCCTGCATTTCATTCGCTTTAATTTAAACCCAGAAAAAGAGAGTTTAATTAGTACCTTGGAAACTTACCCAGGACACTTCTGGGGGCAAGAAATTGTATCCTCACCACATGCTTCAGAGTCTGTGTCCAGCAGGGATGATTATCCCAAATGCAGGGCCGGGCATAGTCTCATGTAAAACACCAAAGGAAAATGCCTACTGGTCTCCAGGTTCCTTATTAAAGACAGTTTATCAATAACAAGTCAGTTAATCAACAGGTATGACTTGAACACCTGCCATGTGCCTAACGTGAGGATTCGGAAGAAACAAAGCTTTGCGTTGGACTTGAATCAGAAACAGCCGGGGGCATCTTTATTCCAATGCCAGCAGCTGCGGGGGAGAGGAGCAAGCATAACCGATTTCTCCCCTCCCAGAGTTCTATGGACTATAGTGTGTATTAGGAGAACAAAGAAGAGAAAGAGAAAAAATCTAGAGAGGCAGGTCATTTACACCCTACACACAATATGGCATCTATATGTTCTGAAATTATACGAGTCCTTCTAGTAAACACATATTATTATGTCAAGTAAATATAATACGTTCTACAAACTTTGGGGTTAAAGATAAGCCTTGGGGCTAAGGGGCTACACTCTCTAGTTACGATAGGTCCAGTTGCTTTAATAAAACAATCTGACCTTAAGAGTCTTGACTTCTTTGAACTGAATGTCAGGAAGAGACCGCGGAGAAAGTCTCTACTTTATGATAAGGGACCAATTTAATCTTATCTAAGGCCCTTTCAGCCTAATTAATCAATTAATGTGAGTCTGGGTTTACCTCACTAAGTCAAAGACACTCTTCAACCTTCCCCATTCTTATCAGAAAGGTAATTGAAAACACACTACCTGAATACACAAAGCAATTTAGTCCAAGGTGATTGCTTCCCTCGCAAACCTCGGTACCCAAAAGCCACTTCTACCCAGAGCCAAATAAAAGACTTGACACAACTTCACCGCATGGTTTCCTTCTCAAACAAAAGATACACACTTCCTGATTCCACAGATTCTTTTTTTATGCTTAGTTATTTTGAGAGAGAGAGCATGAGCAGAGAAGGGGCAGAGAGAGGGAGAGAGAGAGTAATCCCAAGCAGATTCCATGCTTTCAATGCAGAGCCTGACCCGGGGCTTGATCTCAGTGAGATCGTGACCTGAGCTGAAATCAAGAGTTGCTTAACAGACTAAGCCACCCAGGCACCCTGATTCCAGAGCTTCTTATTATACATCCTCAACAACACAGAAGTTTGGGACACGTTTCCTAACCTCAAGAAACTCTAAGAAAAACAAACATATTTAAGACAATGAGAGGTGGGGCGCCTGGGTGTCTCAGTTGGTTAAGCATCTGACTTCAGCTCAGGTCACGATCTCACAGTCTGTGAGTTCAAGCCCCGCGTCGGGCTCTGTGCTGACAGCTCTGAGCCTGGAGCCTGCTTCAGACTCTGTGTCTCCCTCTCTCTCTGCCCCTTCCCCGCTCATGCTCTGTCTCTCTCTGTCTCAAAAATAAATAAAAACATTTTAAAAAATTATTTAAGACAATGAGAGGTAATTGTTAGGGTCAGGCGTAAGGCAGGGTAAAAATAGGAGTCAGAGGCTAAAAAATTTTAGCAGTCAAAGGCTTTATTTGGGAGCTAATGTCTCTGGTGAGGTTCCGTGACCCAGGGAGAGAGAGAGAGAGGAGTCAGGGAAGTCGCACCCAGGTGTGGGGTGGGGTTTTTAAGCTGCAGCAGTTCCGGGTTTAGGTCTGGGTGGGCCTTTTTCGCGTCAGGTCGTGCTGTCGCTCGGTGATTGGTTGACATCCAATTCGTTCTGGCTACTAGGGGCTTTTCATTGGGTTGCACTGGCAAGATGGCCGTCCCCTCTACTGTGGTTCCAAGGACATCCTAACAGTAATTAAGGATTTAACTGTGGGGTCCTGAGTAAAATAGGAAATCAGAGTAAGGAGGTTGCAGTGTGGTTGTAAGAAGAGGAGATCTGAACAGAGTCGTAACCTCAGTTGCTCTAATTTGGTTTCCTGGCTTCCTTCCATATTCCACGGGCACTTGACCGTTGACCTATTTCCTCTCTAGTGAGATCTTCCCTAAAGACTGGAGGCATCCGCTCTCCTAAATACCGTTTAAGAACCTACAATGTGGACCAAGTTCTTTTTAATCTTCTAAACCCCATCTCTTTGATAGTGGTTCCCTTCTTTCTGCTGTTGGTCCGGAATCCCTACTATTTGGGGCAAAATGACTTTAGACTGTGTTAGAAATTATGCAATCAAGTGTTGCAATTATGGTCACTAACTTTGTCTCCCTGCCAGCATCACCCTGCTGGCCCCTAGAACCACGCCTCAGCCTCCAGCCCTGAAGGAGGGGGCCTACTGGAGGTGCCTTCAGGACTCTGGGGACCAGAGACTCCAGCAGGAACTAATGATCCTCTTGAAGCCTGACAACAAGGGAATTTCTGCTTTCCGTCAGTCATGATGCAGTTTTGGGGTAATGGTGTGGCATCCGGAGCCAACAGCCAAGAAAGAATTCTTGAGACCTCTTTGGTGCAAAAATGGTGGTGTAAAAATGACGATTTTATTGAAGCACGGGACAGGACCCATGGGCAGGAAGAGCTTCCCCGGGACCCTGTGGAGACACTGGTTATGTATTTGGGAGTTGAGGGAGGTACTGTCCAGGGGAAGTTTCCAATGAGATTTTCGTATGCTAAAGAAGACTCACAGGATACTGGAGGCCTAGTTATTGTTAAGCTAAGGTTGTTCTTCCCCCTAGGGGCACCTGGGCGGCTTAGTTGGTTACGCAACCAACTTTGGCTCAAGTCATGATCTCACAGTTAGTGGGTTGGAGTTGCCCGCTTTGGATTCTGTGTCCTCCCCCTCTCTCTGCCCCTCTCCTGCTCATGTTCTGTCTGTCTCTCTCTCAAAAATAAATAAAACATTAAAAAATTTTTTTTAATAAAAAAAAGTTGTTTTCCCTCTAGCAAAGCATTAACATTAAGACATAGGGAGTTCCTGGAGAAATGTTTTACTCTGCCGGCTTCAAGTGTCTGTCAATGGGCTGCAGGCTATAAGGAAATTTAATTTTATCTGCCATTTCCTTCTGCCTTTGTTCCCCATATCACTGTGGAAGAGTGATGTTTGGGCTCAGGAAACTGAGTCTACAGGTTTCTGGAGATTAGGCTATTGATAAGACTTCCTTTTTTTTTTTTTTTTTGGAATTTACTAAGATAGTTGTAAACTAATGGAGACTCAAGTCCTGCAGGACTGTGATCTCTATCAGTTAACCAATTGTTTTTCCCCTTTCCTTTTGTTCTTGAGCCACCAGGAGTGCCCCAGGACTATCACACACATCCCCCCTGGGGGTGGGGAGTGTTTGTGGGGGTCAGCTTGCCTTCTGCTCCCTCATCACATTAGAACACCTTTCCGAAGGGGTGTGGACCATCCAAGAAGAGTCTGGGAAGACCAGAGGTGGCAGGTCTCCCTGGGGCTTCCCAGTGCCTCCTGTCACAGCGTGCCTGTGGGGAAGCTCCCTCAGGCTCCTTGACCGTTGCCACATGAACACCAAGGTCACATCTGCCTGGACCCCCTAGACAACAAGGGGTGTGCCCTGTGTTTTCAGAGAACTGTTTCTCCCCAATCAGTTATTGTTTGTTTTCAAACCCCACTAACCATTAGCTGTCTCAGCAGAGGCCTGGACTGACACAAAAGATTCCAGCTTATGCACACGCAAAGGCCCTGCATTTCTTACCAGGGAGGAGGAGCCCAAATTCCATCCAGTTTATACCAGCACTCTAGGCATGCGCACAACCTTCTCCTTGTCCTACCCGTGACCTCCTGATGGCGGTTAGAGGGGGGCGGATATTTTGCCTCATTTTAAGTCTCCACCCCTAAATAGACAGGGGATGTGTGTTATGCATGTGTTTGCTCAACGTGCACGTGCTATCTTTCTCCATGAAGAGTTGTAAGTTTCCCCGCCCTTTCCTTCAGTATGTATGGAAGGCCAATCCCTGTGATTATTAGAAGGCTTGTTCCAATTTCAGTTGGGGGTTACAGATTGAAGCCAGCCTCCTATCTCACCTTGCTTAACCACTTTGCAAGCAATAAATCTCTCTCCGCAAAAGGCCAGTGCTACATACAGTGTTTGGCTTTCCATTTTGTGCAGGTGAACGGACTCCTTCCAGTTGGATAAAAACCACCTTGCTCTCCAAGAAGGTGAAAAGAAGGTAGCAAGACAAAAAATAGGTCAAAAGGACAGAGCTCATAGGCTCTTCTAAGAAAGAAAAATAGGTACAGAGGAACAGAAGCCTAGATACTCCAAACTGTGCTGGAACTCAGGGATAATATTAATAATGAATTTCACAAAGTATAAATAACTGGTAACATCTCCATTATCATTATTTTATGAAACCCCTCTTCTTCAATGTAGTTACCAGCATGGGGGCGCCTGGGTGGCTCAGTGGGTTTGTTATGTCCAGAATTCACAATCCCCAAAGACCACCAGGGAGCCGAGTCCGATGCAAAAGCAAAGAGCCTTTATTTGAGCTAGCTCGAGCTCAATCCCCTACCTGCACCGATGCAGCGGTGAGATGCCGGGGAGAGAGAGCGAGTTTCAAAAGCACAAAGGTTTTATAGGGGTCTAGGGGCAGTTGGTGAGGTAATCGCTGTGGCCTTAGCCGATTGGCTGGGGAAGGGTCATGGCCTCCGCTGATTGGCTGGGGAAGGGTCGTGGCCTCAGCCAATTGGCTTGGGAAGGGTCGGAGTCCCTTACACAGGTTGCCGGGTGTGTTTTGATCAGGAAGTTTGAATGGGTGAGCGGGAGGTTACTCAAGGGGAGGAAGCATGGTCTGAGGTTTCTGTGATTTTCCCGGAAAGGGGCCATGTCGGGGACATAGTCGCTCAAGGTGGAGGACACAGAACAAGATGGAGTCGGCCAGCATAGGTCGGCCCTTTCAGGTTAAGCATGGGACTCTTGGTTTCAGCTCAGGTCATGATCTCAGTTTCCTGGGTTTGAGCCCCATGTTGGGCTCTGTGCTGACAGCATGGAACCTGCTTAGGATTCTCCCTCCCTCTCTCTTTCCCCTCCCCAACTTGCACTGTCTCTGTCTCTCTCAAAATAAAAAACTTAACATGTTGTTACCGATCAGGTTTGGGGGTGATAGTGGGGTTCGTGGGGTCTGGAGCTGATGGCCAAGAAAGAATTCTTGAAGACACCTTTGATGCAAAGAGGTGATTTTATTAACGCACGGGGACAGCACCCGTGGGCAGAAAGAGCTGCCCAGGGACCACGAGAGACAGGTTACATACGGTAGAGTTTGAGAAGGTAAAGTCCAGGGGAAGTTTCCAATGAGATTTTCAGATGCTAAAGAAGACTCCCAGGTTTCCTAGCTGTTGTCAAGCTAAGGTGGTTTTCCCCTCTAGCGAAGCATTAACCTTAAGACAGAGGGAGTTCCTGGAGAAACATTTTACTCTGTCTGCCTCCAAGTCCATGGGCTCTGTCAATGGGCTGCAGGCTACAAGGAAATTTAATTTTACCTGCCATTTCCTTCTGCCTGTTTCCCACATCAGTGACCTGCAGCAAAAAGTATTTTAAAAGTTTTGCAGTGGCTTAAGGGAGTTAAGAGAGTTGGAGAGGCATCTCGCCTGAAAGAGGGCAGCCTGGTGGAGCTGAGGACCCAGGAGCTGGGGGAGGCGAGGTGGGTGTGAGCGCTGGGTGGTGGCTGAGCTCCGGGAGTGCAGAGTGACAGCTGGGCCAGTGGGGAGGTCAGTCCCTCAGCTCCTTCCACCAATATTTATTGACGTCCTACTGCTGCAGGATTTTTTTTACCACAACACCCGCGATTCGTTGTCTCCCCGCTTGGAAGAACAAAGAGGTGGACACAAAATGAGCAGCAGGCCAAGGTTTTTGTTTGTTTGTTTGTTTGCTTTTTAATTTTTTTTTCAACGTTTTTTATTTATTTTTGGGACAGAGAGAGACAGAGCATGAACGGGGAGGGGCAGAGAGAGAGGGAGACACAGAATCGGAAACAGGCTCCAGGCTCCGAGCCGTCAGCCCAGAGCCCGACGCGGGGCTCGAACTCACGCACCGCGAGATCGTGACCTGGCTGAAGTCGGGCGCTTAACCGACTGCGCCACCCAGGCGCCCCAGCAGGCCAAGGTTTAATAGAATATAAGATCCGAGAGGAAGAGTAGGAAAGCTCTCTTTATAGAGAGGGGACATTGGAAAATGAATGCCTGAGGATGCTAGGCCAGGGTCCTTGTTTTATAAGGTTCTTTTATAAGGTTTTATAAGGTTCAGCAACCCCACCCCCCCACCCCCGCCCTTCCCTTCCCCCTCGTTCCTTCTCAGGTTCTACCCTTATTGGTTTGATAGCTCCAGGTGCTGGGCTACCCATTCCTGACTGGCTCCATTGCATTGCGTGAGGCCATACTTAGGTCTTTTGTCAAATTCCCGAGGGAAACCTTTGGGGGAGGAGGTGGGCTCTGTTACATTCTGAAGAGGAACCTCTCGCCTGAGGGGGTTTGCTGTGGTCAGACGCTCCCAGCACCTTTCCAAAATAGGTGTTTTTTCCCCACCCAGGGACCTCAGGCCCTAACCTTGCCCTCTCTGCCTACTGAACCCTATCTTCTATCAGTACTATGTGCCTAACACTATTCTAGGTGTGGAGAATAGAGCAGGGAACAAAAAATACAAAACCTCCCTTTTATGAAGCTGATACTCTGTTCTGGGGCACAGAGTGGAGAAAAAAGATGGGGAGTACATTTCAGAATCTGTTAAATAATCGCAAGAGCTTGAGAGAAAGATAGTGGGGGAGAGGACAAGACAATTTTGG